AAACTGGAGCATCTACATCACCAGTGGCGGGCTGTTTCTCAATCCCAGGACTTTTTGAGGGTCGGAGGCGACGCCGGGGTGGTCTGGTGTGTACTTCTTCCCCGCTGCCCCGGGGAAGAGCAACGAACAATGCACGGCACCAGGAGCCCGTGTACACCAGGATCCGCTTTCCTGTGCGAGCTTCAGTGCGGGGCACATATATATATATATATATATACATATATATATACACACATACACATATACATACATATGTGTGTGTATATATATATATATTAAATCAATAGGCCCCCCCCTGGCCTGGGCCGGCCGACCCCGCAGCCCTCGGCGGAAGCCCGCAACCATCGGCGGAAGCCCCCCCCCCCCCCGTTTCGCTCCCCAGGGGCGACCCGGAGAGGCCGAGAGGGCGTCAGAACGAGCCTTAAGAGTGTTCCAAGAGGCCCCCCGGACGGCGCAAGAAGGCCCCGTGCTGCCCAGTACTGCGCAGGAGGATTCCCAGAGCAAGCCCAACAGGGACCCAAGAGGCCCGAGTCGTTGAATTCCGATGGGGAAACATACATTTTTAGCATGTGCGATTTTTCGGCCTTCACGGCTTTGAAGACGATCCAAGAGGCTCCCAAGACTTCCCCAAGACAGCCCAATACGTTCCCAAGAGACCCCCGAGCCAGCCCAATAGGCCGCCAAGACGGCCCAATGGACGCCTAAGACGGCCAAGTTGGCCCCAAGACGGCGCCCAAGACGGCCCAAGAAGGCCCCGAGTCGCCCAAGACGGCCCAAGATGGCCCCCAGACGGTCCAAGAAGGATCCGAGACGTCCCAAGAGGCCTCCAAGAGCACTCCCAGGAGGGCCCCAAGAAGCCGCAATCGTTCAGTTCTCATGGGCAAGCGTTTTTTGTCAGAGGCGACTTTTCGGCCTTCACGGCTTTGAAGACGGCCCAAGAGGCTCCTAAGATTTGCCCAAGAGAGCCGAAGAAGACACTCCCAAGAGGCCCTCAAGACAGCCCAAGAGGGGGCCAAGACGGCTCAAGAGCTTCCCAAGACGGCGCAAGTTAGCCCCAAAACGGGCCCCAAGAAGGCCCAAGAAGGCCCCGAGTCGCCCAAGACTGCCCAAGATGGCCCCAAGAAGGTCCAAGAAGGCTCCGAGACGTCCCAAGAGGCCTCCAAGAGCACGCTCAAGAGGATTCCGAAAGACCAAATACGTTACATTCCTTTAGGCGAAACGTACATTTGAAGCATCTACGATGTTGGGGCCTTCGCGGCTTTGAAGACGGTCCAAGAGGCCCCCAAACCTTCCCCAAGCGAACCGAAGACGCTCCCAAGAGGCCCCCAAGATAGCCCAAGAGGGCGCCAAGACGGCCGAAGGGCCGACTAAGACGGCTCCAGGAGGGGGCCAAGAGGGGAATTCCTACTCGAAAGTTGCAGCCTTTCGCCCAAAGAACCCCCCAGGAGGCCCCAAGAGTCCCCAAGAGGTCCCCAAGAGACCCCCAAGAGGCCCAAACGAGGCCCCAAGATGGCTCCAGGAGGACACAGATGAGAAAACAGAGGGCAGGAAACGATACATGCAGGATACAGATGATACTCATATTTCCTCCTGCTCTTCCTCCTCCTCCGGTTCCTCCTCCTCTGCGGCCTCCTCCGCCCTCTCCAACTCTTCCTTATCCTTCTTCTCCTTCTCCCCCGGGGAACCCCTTCACCTCCATACTCCTCCCTCTTCCTCTGGCTCTGTCCAGCCGCGGCGAATAAAAGGGCCCCCGAAGTGTCTTGTGGGCCTGTCTTAAGCCGTCGTGGGTGGACCGTAGGAAGTCTTGGACGCCATTTGGGCCGTCTTCGTGGTTCTTGGAAGCCCCGGAGAAGTGCCATGGAATAGAGACCCCCAAAGAGTTCGACCATTCAGCCTGGCTAGAACTTGAGCGCGCGCGAAGCGCGCGCGCGATGGTTCTAGTACCTATATATATATATTGAGAGAGAGAGAGAGAGAGAGAGAGAGAGAAAAAAAAAAAAAAAAAAAAAAAGAGAGAGACAGAGATAAATAAACAAACAAAAAGAGAGTGCGGCTTCCTAGAATGGGCAGCCGAGCAGAGCCCCCGGAGGCCAGCAAAGACGCTCGATCGGCTGCCGCGCGCCGGCTGCTCTCGATCGTGTTCATCCCGCGCATCGCGCGGCAGGGGGCAATTCGGGGGCGAGGGCGTGGCCCTTGCGGGTGCCCCGCCGCGGTCCGGGAAGCCTTTTTGGAGGCCTCGAGGAGGAGGAGGAGGAGGAGGAGGAGGAGGAGGAGGAGGAGGAGGAGGAGGAGGAGGAGGAGGAGGAGGAGGGGGAGGAAGGAGGAGGAGGAGGAGGAGGAGGAGGAGGAAGGGGGAGGAGGAGGAGGAGGAGGAGGAGGAGGAGGGGAGGAGGAAGGAGGAGGAGGAGGAGGAGGAGGAGGAGGAGGAGGAGGAGGAGATGGAGGAGGAGGAGGAGGAAGGAGGAGGAGGGGGGGTAGGAGGAGGAGGAGAGGAGTAGGAGACAGACGAGGGGGAGGAGGAGGACAGGAGGAGGAGGGGGAGGGGGAGGGGGAGGGGGCAAGCTAGGTGCGCTCGCGTCATATCTGACGTCCTACCCCTCCCTCCCATCCCTTACCATGGCGCTGATTTTATCTATCCGCGGACGTGGCTCCGCGCGCGCGTGCGTAGTGGGTGGTGGTGCACGTGCGTGCGTGCGTGCGTGCGTGTGTGCGTGGTTGTCGTGGTGGTGGTGGTGGTGGTGGTGGTGGTAGTGTGGTGGTGGTGGTGGTGGTGATGGTGGTGGTGGTGGTGCTGGTGGTGTGTTTGCGGTGCTGGTGGTGGTGCTGGTGGTGGTGCTGGTGGTGGTGGTGGTGGTGGTGGTGGTGGTGGTGGTGGTGGTGGTGGTGGGGTGGTGGTGGTGGTGGTGCGGCGCGGTGGTGGCGGGCGGATGGGCGCGCGAGAAAGAGGCCCGCGCTGGGCCGAGAACGCCATCCTGAACGACGGAGGCCAAACACCGATCCGAAAATGAGGCCCACGCTGCAGCGGGAGCACGATTCGGAACGAATCGGGAGCAGAAATGAGGCCGGCGCCTCAACGAGAGCAGCATTTTGGGAAAAAATGACGCCGGCGCCTCAGCGAGAGTCGTTTCCCGGGATTTCCCGGGGATCCTGTGTGTAAAAAAACAGTACGCGGAGGGTGCGCGGCCATCGCCCGGACGCCATCAAGGGGAAGAGGGAGAGTAATTTCATATTGAAACTAGTGGGAGGGGGAGGAGATAGGAGGAGGAGGAGGAGGAGGAGGAGAGGAGGAGGAGAGGAGGAGGATGAGGAGGAGGGGGAGAGGATGAGGAGAGGCGGGAGGAGGAGGAGGAGGAGAGAGGAGTAGGAGGAGGGGTGGGGAGGGGGGGGGGGGGGGGAAAGGGGGGAGCGGACGGAGAGGAGGGAGGAGTAGAGGAGGAAGGAGGAGGAGGAGGAGGAAGGAGGAGGAGGAGGATGAGGAGGAGGAGAGAGGGAGGGAGAGAGGAGGAGGATGGGTGGTGGCAGAGGAAGGAGGAGGGGAAGGCAGGGAGGCCGAGGAGGAGGAGAGAGGAAGAGGGGAGGGGGGGGGGGCGGCGGAGGCGGCGGAGTAGGAAGAGGAGGAGGAGGAGAGGATGAGTAGGAGAGGAGGAGGAGGAGGGAGGAGCGCGAGGGGGGAGGAGGCGGATGAGAGGAATGACCCCTGCAAGAAGCCCCCCGCCTCGTCGGAAGGCCGCACCTCTGCCCCGCCACCCTTGCTCGAGGGGAGGGAGGAGCACCCAGATCCCGATATCCGGCGTCTCACGGAACGGCCCCGGGCGTCTACGAAGTTCTGGACGCCCGACATGGGCACGGAAATAACTTGAACATGGGCTCGGTACCGTTTACCCGATCCCCATCCCCATTTCCATCCCCTTCGATTTGGACACCCGATCCCCATCCCCATCCCTTTGGGCGCCCGAAATGGGCACGGAAAGAGTGGGTACGATGCCGAACAGCAGTTCTTAGTAGTATTCATTCTGAACCGGGCTCGCTGTCCACGCCGCCGCGGCCTGTGTCCATTTGAGACAGGAGGCCGCCTGCCCAACAGCGGCCGCTGCTGGTTCGGGACAACATTTGCTGCTGGGCATTGTACCCATCATTTCCGTACCCATTTCGGGCGTTTGAAACGGCCCTGCCCTGTTCGATTCCCTCCTTGGGTGCGTTGACCAAACGGCTTCGCCTGTCGGGGTGCTCATAATGAGGGTGGATTTTGTCCGCTCCCTACGTGTGCACGACGCCACTGCTGAGAGGGCCGCCAGGGTGTCCCCGTGGCCCTCAGAGGGTGGGAGTCAAGCCGACCACGCCAGTGTCGCAGAGGGAGCGAGCGACTGGGCAGCATTATTCAATCTCGTCGCTCATTCCGCCCGCCCCTTTTATATCACTGGTGCTATAATGTTGCTGTGCTCGTCGCGAGCGAGGAGGAGGAAGAAGATTAGAGTAGAAGGAGGTGGAGGCTTCTCGATGTTTTCTTGGGGCATCCTTGGGGCCAAACTGGGTTTTGGACAAGATACCTCTTTGGGAGACTTCTTGAGGTCTCTTGGGAGGCCTCTCGGAGGCCTCTTGGCAGTATTTTTGGGACCTCCAAGGGTCTCTTGGGAGCCTCTTAGGACCTGTTAGGGTTTTTTTTTTCGCCAGACTTTTAGGGGCCTCTTGGGGGCCTGCTGGCGGTCTCGGGGGCCATCTTTTGGGAAAGGGTTCGACATGTCAGTTCGGATTCCCCCTCTTGGGGCCTTCTTGGGAGCCCCTGGAACCCTCTTGGGATGCCTCCTTGGCCGTCCTGAGGTCGTGTTCGGCTGCGCTGGGGCCGTCCAGCGAGCCACTTGGGCTGACCTGTGGCGATGGTCGGAGTGTTTTGAGTCTTTCGGGCCGTATTGATCGGTCTGAGGATGGATAAGGCACAAACGATTAAACCTTCCAGGCATCAAAAGACAATGCATTACGTTTCGCCTCCAGGGCCGCTTTTG